GGCCCCTGCCAGAAGGGAAAGGAATGAAGCCGCATAATGGGGGGGGGGGACACAATTTCTTGAAATATTACAGTAAAGGTGCTCATTCATCCAGAAAGTATGTTCTCCGCAGACCGCGGGGACAAATTAATGTCAGCATGTCGAACAAGGTTCACGGAGAAAGGCTACATGGAAGCCAGAACAAAATCATTTCGGTAGCAACGTCTAATCGAGGAAAATTACAACGGTGTGGAGCTGGTCGAATATTACACGTAAATATCAATTAAAAAAAAAAAAAAGGTGAAAATTTCTCTGAACAGTTGGCGCTATTAAATGTAACAATGAGAGAGAATTAGGCGACATAGCGAAGAAGGAAGAAAACAAAGCATGCAAATCTCCATGACGACAACATCATCATCATCAGACTGGTGCTGTGTCTGCGCATCGTCACGTTCTAATAAGACCAATTATATATATATATATATATATATATATATATAGTCTTTTTTTTGTATGTGATAAGCATACATAAGAGCTGAGACAGTTTCACTGTACATACGATAGGTGTGAAATATATCACATTTGAAATAACTCCTACTAATTGTGAATGTACTCATGCTTTCTGCAGTATACACTTACTCGACTTGAATGCTGCTTCTTCTGTTTCGTGACAAAAAGTTTGACCTCCGGGGAGAGGAAGATGCTCTTTAAGTTGGACAGTATTTAGTGACGGTTTACAGCACTATTTATTTATGTACGTATTTATTTATTTATTTAGTTCTTTATTTTCAAATGCAAGTTGAAATCCAACCACTTTTCATTTTTAATATTTATGAAGAGAATTGTAACTGCCCAAGTATATATATCATGTGTCTAGAATGCATTTTGCAGATGCTATCTGTACATACTATTTAAGATACCGTTTTTACCAAAAAAAAAAAAATATATATATGTATAAAATTGAAAACATGCTGTGCAGCAATGATTCCAAAGCTATTTTGGGCTTTGGAAAATACTTTTTTTTCAATATATAAGAAGTGTTTTGAATAATGTACTAAAGTCTCTATTGTACAAATAAAAATGTCACTCTTGGTAATCTGGGCACTTTACATTATAATGCAGTGAGTTCTTTTCTTTCTACCTGCTCATTTGTTTTTGTGTTTTTGTTTCATTTTTGTTACTATTTTGAATTAAAAATGAAAGGCTGATTAAGAAATAGAGCAGGTCACTGGGTGACGCCAATAAGAATGCAAAAATTAGGTGCAAGAATTCAGGACAGTGATGAGTTACGGAGAGGAAAAAATGTTTGTGGAGACAAGAAAAAGAGAGGGATTAAGTTGAGCTGTTCTTGGTGGATTTAATTTCGGGGCTTTCAGCATCTCGACAGATGCTTCATTGTCTAAATTTCCATTAGTGTAACAGCCTTCATCTTTCTGTATTCATTCATGATGGTTGGATGTATTGATGTTTAGCTGAGCTTTGTTTCACAAGACAGATTGTGTGGGTCCTCATGTCAGTGCTATGGAAATCCTGAAGGAAGAGCTTCTACACGAGCTTCGATATCCCAAAATGTCAGAATATTATCTCACACAATTAACATGGAAACGCATCCTGAAGGAAGTTTTATTTTTTTTTATATCACATCAGGTATAAGATCTCATCAACACACTCTGCTGAGAGAAATGGATCAACCGCCCACTTTGTTGCCATTTTTTTATTAACTGTTCAAGAAATGTATCCAACCATGTGTGTCAAACTAATTCAACTACTGTCATAGTCGAACGTTAAAATAACAAAACACTCTCTTCATTGATGAATGAGGAGGGTGTGCTGCCTGACGTCTTCTGACCTTAACTGTCAGCTATGTGGAAAAGGAAGTTTAAATCAAGACAACAACAACAACAAAAAAAAGAGCAGCAGCAAGCTATCCTGCAACCAGCACTAGAATCATTTGTAAAATTTGCAGGTAACTGCGGTGTCTGTTGAAATACTTGGTAAGACTGGCCGGTCTGGATACAACATTAGAACATCGAGTTTATCCATTTCAACTGTGAGAGCCCCGACACGGACCTATATTAGCAACTTCCTGTACAGTCTTCTCTTCTTGAGATGCCTTGTTGTGACTGTCCCTCTTTTTGAATCAGCAAAAAGCACAACCAAAAAACAACTGAACTGAATGTGGCCTGCCAGGGTCTCATGAGACAAGATGTTTGTGTCTTGTGTTTCCCCAAATTCTGGAGCTACCGGCATTCAAATTTGACCACAAACATAAGAATACAAAACTCTAGTTACAAACAAAATACAAAAATGTGGTTGAATGTATCCTTTACTCAACGGTAGTTGGGCATATGCTGCACTATTCTCTGGGATGTTACTGACCTCCCTTTGTGGAGTCCAACAATCAACAATAGACACACGCGTGCGCACACACGTTGATGAAAGTATAGCGTCCTTTGTTCCCCATCTTTCACATGCTAGTGTGGACTAAATGTTACTTTTGTGCCTTGATGAAACCCACTTCAACAATCCTGCATAAATTTCTCGGCACACTGACCGTGTAAGCCCCCAAATCCCACAGAGGCGGTCAATATGCTAGTGTGACCTAATCAATAACAATAGCAAAGCCTATGCCCATGACCTGCATTCAGCTGTGCTGTGTGTATGTGTGTGCGTGTGTGCGTGTGTGTGTGCATGTGTGTGTGTGTGTGCGTGCGTGTGCGTGAGCGTCTCCTTCTCTGTGTTAGTTTCCTATGATCATTCCTCCAGCACCCAGCCAGACATAGACATGATAGCCTATTTTGCCTACAGCCTGGTATACTAATCTGACCTACAGTGACTGACTGGGTATACATTGTCTGCAAAAGCATGTATGCCTGCAACCAAGTGGCCAGTACAGTGTAATCTCACCCCCCACCCCCTGAAAAAAAATGGCCACTGTGCCCACTCTATGCATCCAATGCACCGACAATGTTGATTTAAATGTTTTTGGCACAATGACTGGAAACTGACGGAAAAGGGTTAGAAAAACAGACTTGTGAATAGAGCAGTGAGTCAGATTTTCATCACTTTTGCACTCCTTCAACACATTTACTCTACAACAAACGCGTTTTTTTTTTTCTCTTTCATGAGTTCAATTCAGTAAAAACAGGACCAGGCTAAACATTTCATCACTTCTGAATGCATAAGGTGGGTGGTATATTTTCCAAAGTACCATATTTATTGTTATGGCTCATTCTTGCCAAGCTTCAAACTATGTAAAGTAAATACTTGTAGTGTGTCACAAAACCATTGGCAACAACAATGAGTGGGGTTTCCATGACATAAAAGAGAGACTTACTATTTCATTCTATCGGGGGGGAATGCATTTGGATGAACATTTCATTCATTTCAGGTACTTACATCTGGATCTAATTCACATTTTAGATGACAGCACCTTTTTGTTTGAACAGACTTATTTTTCATAGAGTAAACATTAAAAAAAAAAAAAAAATGTGACTTACATGTGTTTTATTGCCCATGGCATTTTACATTTATTATTCACTCAATAAATCGTGTCCAATGTAGACAATACGTTTGTTGTTTTTTTTTCTTCTTGCTGTGCAGCTTACATTTCAAAAAGGGGTGTAATCAACAAAGAAAGTAGCTGCCTCTGAGTGAATAACAAGCAATTGTGAAGTTGAAAGAAGAAACAATAAGAGCAAACATTGGTCATAGCCAGTACGACAGTACTTTTGTTTTGAAAACAATAATAAAAACAAGAATAAACAAACTATGACATTTTATCTGAAAGGAAGTAATAACAATACTCCTATCATAACAATAATTGTAAATAATAATACTAATATAATAATTATTACATATTATTATACTGGTTTCTTTTCCTAACCCGTTCACTGGGTAGCTGTTAATTTTTTTATCAGATTGGGTTACGTTTACCCAAAATTGGGTTAATACATTTGATCCAGGAGATTGGGTTGAAGATTGGATTTGGGTGGGCTCAAGAGCTGAAGCTGGTCACCATTTTCGACAATCTTAGAAGCTATTGGTGGAACTTGCTGTGGGGCTCCTGGCAAGGTGACAGTTGCTTCTTAGAAAATGTTGGTAGTAAAATCTCGATTGTGTGGTTTTTTTTTGTTTTTTTTTTAACCACAGCTTCAGAACAATGAAAATTGGTAACCCATTTCTTGGAACCTTTAACTCATCAGTTTTTTTTTTTTTTTTTGTTTTTGTTTTTTTTTTTACCAGTTAGTTGAACCAGTTGGAGTTTATAAAGTAAGTCATTATGTGGAAGACGCAAATGAACAATTATGATTACCGTATAATAAATGTGAGTGACAAGGCTTTGGACAAGAAAAGAGGTAATGTGGAGTTTGGAAATTGATGGAGCCGGTTAATGTTGCCGAGGTGAAAATACGGTCGGGTAATATTGAGTGTGAGGGCTGTCCAGGACAACACCCAGATTCGTAAGCTGTGGGGAAATAGAGACCAGGCAACTGTTGTTCGTGAATGAGAAACAGTCCACTTACGACACCACAGCCTCGATGGGGTGGTTTGGGTTCCAAGAGGAGAATTTCAACTTTATCAGTTTTACGTTTCAGATGAACCATGATTTGATTTCACACAGGATAAAATGTTTAGTTCGATTATACCTGAGAAGTTCCACAGAGTGTCAACTATTGAGGTAAGATAAGATAAGAAAACCTTTGTTGTCTCACAATGGAGAAATTCGCAATCTACAGCAGCAAAATTTGGAGGGAAGAAAGTAGGTAGAAAAAAAAAAACAGTGGAAAATACGATTCAATTTTGAGAAAATATTGCAATATGGAAGGAGTGAATGGAAAAGGTCGAAGAGATGAGCCTTGTGGAATACCTGTGGTAACTTGGTTGGGATCTGATTTGATAGATTTGAGCAGATTGATCTGTGAGATAAGAATGAAATCAGTGAAGGTGTGTGTGTGTGTGTGTGTGTGTGTGTGTGTGTGTGTGTGTGTGTGTGTGTGTGTGTGCGTGCGTGTGCGTGTGCGCGTGTGTGTGTGTGTGTTTTCAGCCTGGAAGTACGGCGGTCACTATTTTCAGCAAAAAAAAAAATGTGAAGGGGTATTGCACACTGTGCTCTCTACAGAGGTTTTGAAGCATCAATTACACTACAAATAAATACATTTGGATAGCAGCACAGTATGCATTCAACCTTAATGAGAAAGTCACACTTTAGGCCCAGTAATGTTCTCCGTGCACTCGTGTACGTTTTCTCCTTGTGCCGGCCGGCTTCCTCGCATGTTCCAAAATCATGCATGCTCGATGGATGAAATATAGAATTGTTTTTTTTCCGTCATCTTTGTGAATGGTTCTTTGTCTTAATGTGCCCTGCGACTGATTGTATTGTTATTGTTAAATAAGTCAATGTTCTAAAAAGTGTAATTAATTCATTCCCAGATGCTTTTGTTAAAAAACAACCTTTAAAAACATTATCAAGGACACACTCAGGACATTATTTCCTCTGAATAGGCTACACAAAGAATATGTCTCATGACATTTAATATCCACTTGTCACATGGGTGCAAAATACTCAATTTTTGGTGGGGCAGGCAAAAGCAACTAGATGAAATCATCTCTCACAGGTAAGAAAAAAAAAGGTCGCATACAGTACATGACAATTTTGGTCGCAGTCTTGTGGTCTGTGTGGGCGGAGGAACTCAGTGTGGGATCACTTAATATGTAAATCAGGCTTACTGGTATGGAAGGGTAAAGCGGAAATGCAAAATGGCTTGCTCACAGGGACATTTTTAGAAATAGGCATGGAACAAAAGATGCAATTGGCTATGTAATTTCACAGTTGTTGAGTGGGAAGGCACCCGAGTGATCCAACCATTTGTACACAATTTAAAAGTTCGTTTTCCAGAACATGCATTCAATTATATGTGACACAAGCTGTCTAAGGTTGCAATGGGTGTGCCCTTTACCGCACATACAACCAAATCCATGTGCATGCTCAAACCAAGTTTCATGGAAATCAGGGCCTCTCCTTTTGCTGTAATCCTGTTGACAGAGTCAAGCAGACGAACCGCACAAAAAAATAAAAATAATAATAAAAAAATAAAGAACCTTGTTGCCAGATGCAACGAGAGTTACATCACATAGGTATAGACTTGTGGGTGAGGGACACGCATTGGATAGTACGACTTTAATCCTGTCAAAACAATGCTCCATTTCATGACAGTGCTGGCAAACGCTTTCAGATATCTTCATGACATATATTTATTCATTTATTTATTTATTCATTTCACACAGACTGATATTGTTTTAAAAATATAATGCAATGCTCTAAATACTGATTAGTACTCCGTAGTGCGTGACTAAAAGTTGAAATGTTGATTTTCATCTCATGTTCATATTTTCTTTGTTAAATCCAAATATTCTCCGTCTCCTACAGATAGTGAAGGAATTACATCACGTTTCCAATATTTCTGGAGAGGAGTGTATGTCTGGATTTTTAGGCACTTTTGGAAGAGGACTGATGAAGTTGTCGTGAGTGCATGCCATAACTAAACTTTAGCAACTCTTCCTTCTAGACAAACTACAGTATACAAACATCTCCACTCTCTGTAAACCGAGATGTGTTGGGATTGACTGGGTGTGGATACAAAACCATTTGTCCCCTGTTGCAATACTTTGTAACATAACAATGCTGTCAAGCTACTTATTACGAATGAAACTAAAACCAGCTTAAACAGCATTTGGAGCTGCATGATGAAACCCTGTGGCGAGAGGCGTGTTGTGTGTGTGTGTGTGTGTGTGTGTGTGAAAGAGAGAGAGAGAGAGTTTTAAAAAAATGTCTCTCCGCACCACCTTGAAACCGGTCTGACAGTGTCAAGTCACCTGAGAGGAAAAAAAGAACTGTATAGTTGTTGAATTTATTTAAAACAGATGCGGGCATGAAGGTGAAGAAGTTTAAGTGCACGAGCTCAAAAGTCCCCGTGTTAGTCGTTTGACGTCAACACTTCGTTTCGAGCTTGTGTTTGTGTGTGTGTCTTAGCTTGGCATTTGTTTTTCTATGTATGAACTTTTGACAATTTTGTCGCGTGGCTGAAAAACCACGCCATCAAAACAATCGAGTGTGTCCGTTTGGCGTCCCCGTTTGGAGGCGGCAGGCAGTCCCGGCTGGGACGGACGCTGACATTTAGAATAACACAGCCGGTCATCGACTCCCTCCACCCTCGGGGAACAGCAACATGCCTGTGCGACAGAAAGGTAAAGAAAACGTTATTATCATTGTATTTAATAGTTGATTTGTTTCACTCTGCCTGCAAGAGTCGATTTAAAATAAGTGACTTCATCTCGAGTCTGCTGGCTGCTTTTGTGAAGTTCCACTTCGCTTCTCGAAGTGTTGGTCGCCGACTTTACCCTGATTATTGACTCACACACAAATACGTCGGGGGAATGTTTTTACTTTGCTCACACATGCTTCTTACTCTGTCACCACGACTACAGCATGCTGTTGTACTTAAATAACACAGGTGCATAACCACGACAGTGGTGGTGGCACTTTGATGGCATTTTTCAGGCTTCAAATTGAAGTTGTTACACTTGCTTTCCCTACACAGTCATTTACACTGCAGACTTGACGAGCATTATGATTTGGTGTTGTTTCGTGTGTGACAGAATTCAGGAGCTCCGTCAAAAAATGATGAATAAATGCAGTGTGATCACCACAATCCATCACACTGACCACCATCCAACTCATATACTACATATGTAGCATACAGGACAGGCGACGACATAATTGGATCCAATACAAGAGCTGTTTCAAACTCCAAGGAAGGAATTAATGATCAGTAGTAGCTCATCTGTCCTCACTGTTTCTCCACTCCATCACACTGTCTCTTATTGCATGCCTGCGTGTATTGCTCTGTGGTGGGCAGCAAAAATTACACGGCGCAGTTTAAATGAAAAACGGTAGGAAAAAATGTAAGGCAATAATATTGTAGTTTTTCAAATGTGAAATTTCACAATCAGACCTCTCATCCAAAGTTAGATGTGATAGATTCCAGCCCACCTGTGACCCTTATGTGGACAAACGGCATGGACAACAGATGAATGAACAATCAAATAGGTATTCATTTCACAAAAGCGTGTAATTGTGGTTTGAAATTTGCAGTGATGCGGAAAGTTAAACATCACTTCTCTGGAGTAAGATAACTGTCAAAAGACATATGCCTGATTAACGATTCGTGTCCGTAATAGTAATGAATTTATATGTTTTAATTATGTCCCCGTGACTGCTAATCGAAATGAGTATGACTTGAAATTGTTTGGGTTTGAAGCGTTGCGACCCATGGGCCAACTATTGATGCTGAATCGGTTCTGTCACTTTGTCGCTCAATACGGACATCTGTTGGATCTTAACTGTCATTGCAGGCAATTTACACATACAATATTATTTAGGGTATGTTTTATTCTTCATATCTTAATTTAAGGTTAAACTATTTTTACCTTTAAAATATACATAACATAATGCATAATACGTAAAAATCAGTGGAAGTGTTTTGATGTTGCTATGTAGCCTGCTTGTCTTTGAGGAATATCTATCTATCCATCTATCATGGTAAATTTCTATTTTTGAATTTTGAATGTTTTCACATCCAGGCGATTCCTTTTTTAAATTATTAAAATGTTTATGTTTACTCTATCAACTATTTAACATCTTTTAAGGAAACCTTTCTGATTGATAAAACATATCATGGCTTAAAATAAAATTCTGAGTTGCCTGATCCAACACATGCTTCATGGAAGCTTGATATTCAAAGTAGGACTGGACGATTATGAAAAAAAACCATCTAAATTATTTTGATTGATATTGAAATCACGATTAGTAAAACAATTATTCATTGACTTCAAAAAAAGAATGTATTCAATTACTCAAAACTATCATCAGAGGCTCGTGTCCATTCATCCCTGCGTGATGAACACATTATTCCTGAACACAAAATGACCTTGTAAATATAATGTAACATTCACTTCGCTTGCATATTCATTGTGCAATATCCTCATCTTTGATGCCTTGCATCTTTAAATACATTTAAAAACCTTGAAAACAATTAGCTTTATCTCTTTATCATACTCATGTTGTCTTATGTTATTTTCATGCCATGTCATGTGGAAATCTGTGTTGGGTCAACAAATAAAAGTCCTTGGATCTTTCTATCCTTGAATTTTAATGAAAGGAAAATTCCTTAAACATTTTAAAACTCTACTTTAAATATAACTTGAAAGTACAATTAGAAAATAAGTAAGTAGGTAAATAAAATTATCCTACAATAATAGTAATTGGAAAAAAAACTAAAACAAACACCGGCTGTCCCTGTGTGTTTTGGTCTCGTGGGCAGTGTGGTGCCGGACATGCATGGAGTACACACTTGAGGCTTCCTTATACTTGGGCAGGCAGTGACAGCACGGATGTCACTGCGGTAATACTGTGTGCAGTTTGCCTTTTTAGTCGCGCGCAACCCACATGCGTTGGTTTGATCATGTGTTGTGTTGGGGGGAAAGTGGCCCTCTTTCCCCACGTGTTCGTTGAATTTCGGACGAGGAGAATGTTAGTAATCCAAATATAGGCTGGAATCGATGAACAGTTTCTTCAAAGCTTTTAATAACAGAATATTCCTGGCATCAGTGAATTACAGACAATGACTGCGTGTCACGAGTGCGAAGCAGGAAGACATTCACATCATTTTTATATCATCAGAAGGGCGGCACCAAAGCTCAAATTGTGACATCATAACTTTCGTTTCTCCAAAACCAATTCTCAGCTTGTATCAACTAGCGCAGTGGTGTCAAACATACGGCCCGCGGGCCGGATCCGGCCCGCAAAGGACTTTAATCCGGCCCGCGAGATGATTATGTAAAGCAGTGGTGTCAAACATACGGTCCGCGGGCCGTTCAATCAGGCCCCACAGGATAATTTAAAAGTGAAGAAAATGCATAAAAGACACAGAATAAATATTTTTAA